GAATCCATCCTTCAACTCATATCGGTGCAGCCGGGAGCGCTGTCGCGACGAGAGCCAGTCGGACTTCGCGCTCGTTCCTGCCATAAGGAACTTGACGATAGGCGCGACAGCCTCATCGTACCGATACGTCATGCGTATCCGATCAAATAGATCCGTTGTCACCCGCGTGATGTGGGCCAACTCATAGTCAGGACGCCGAGAGAGGGCATCCGCAAGCACGTTGAGCTTGCCCGGCTTGTATTCGACGCGGAAGTTGTATTCCGCGAAGAAGGACAGCCACCTCGCCATCCTTTGGGAGAGGTGAGGCGAGTTAGTCACCGTCCGTGGTCTGTGTAGATCACAAAGAGCCTAGAGCCCAGAAGGTGAACACGAAGCTTCACAAGGGCATATTTCATTGCCAGGAGCTCCTTGTCGTGGACAGGGTATTCCGCTCGGCGGCTTTGAGCTGCCTGGACTGGAACGAGATGACTCGTTTGTGTCCAGCCGTGTCGGCCTGCAGCAATGCACACCCGATAGCGTAATCGGAGGCATCGCGGACGACGCTGAACGGCTTCGTCTCGTCCGGCAGGGCCAGGACAGGGGACTCTTGGAGACTGGCCTTGATGCTGTCAAAAGCATCCTGGTGCTCTTGCTCCCAGCGCCAGTCGACGTCCTTCTGAAGGAGGCTCGACAAGGGCTTAGCGAAGCCCGCGTACCCTGGGCTGTACTTGTGAAGGTAGTTGGCCAAGCCCAACCACTTTCGAAGATCCTTCTGGGATCTGGGCGTCGGCCATGCTGCTATGGCCTTTACCTTGTCTGGGTCAGCCCGGACGCCCACGTTGCTTACGAAGCAACCGAGAACTTTAATCTCTGGTGACGCGAAAACGCACTTGTCGATGTTGGCGTAGAGCTTGTTCGCTCGCATTACGTCCAACACTCGACGGAGGTGTCCTAGATGCACCTCCATGGCCGTCTTGCCTCCTTCGGCACGGCTATGGACGAATATGTCGTCGAAGTACGTCTGTACGAAGGTACGCAAAGGGCGGAGCCGTTGCGTCACCAGGTGATTGAACGTCGCCGGGGCGTTAGACGAGCCCTGCGGCATGACGAGCCACTCCCAAAGCATGCCGCTTGAAGTGCTTACCGCGGTGAGCGGGATGTCGCTCTCTCGCATCAGGATTTGGTAGTATCCGTCTTCTAAATCCAGCGCACTGTACAGTACGCACCCGGACATGTTGTTTAAGAACACATCCTTTTGTTGGATTGGTGTTTGGGCCGGCACCGTTGCGTTGTTCAGCTTGTTATAAGCGTGAACCAGACGCCACTTTCCTTTCAGCTTGCGAACGCAGAAAGTCGGCGTCGAGTGCGGGGATTTCGATTCCCGCACCATGCCTGCCTTCGCTTTCGCGGCGAAGAAGGCATCAATGACCTCGCACTGTTCGCGCGGAAGAGGCCATTGCATCGTGACTCAATACTTTGTGCCGGGCACGAGATCAATCTCGTGCCGTACACCTCGATCCGGTGAGAGTTGGGTCGGTGGGTGTTTGTTCACCACGTCCGCATACTCCGTCACCAAAGAATACACCGGATCCTTGGGGTTCTTAAGGATCTCAGAGCCCTTGCGCGTCTGACGCCGCTTGTTCAGGTCTTCCAGGACGTTCTCGTCCAAGACAGAGGAGGAGTTCAGCTCCTCCCGAGTGGTCTCAGGTCTCATGAGTACCATCTCAGCAATCCTTCCAGCGTTGAAGTTGGCCAGGAAAGACTCAGCCGTCATTTCCTCGAGGTTCAGTATCTCTGCAACCTCTGGCAGCGGTTCCAAGTGGACACCAGATGCCTTGACGGGTAAACCGGTCTCGCCATCGAAGATGTGACAGCACTCTTCCACCGGCCTTGTCGGAGGAGCCCGGGCCCTGGACTCCAAGTCGCTTGAAGCGACGTCGATCGGAACGAAGTTCTGATCCGACTTGAGGCGGCGGCGGCGTCGTTGACGACGGCGACCGTGACGTCGAGCTTTGCTGCCCACTTCCTGGGATGTCGGCGCTACGACATCCGAGGCACTCGTGGCCTCGTGTGGTACCATGGTACCCACACAGGAAGCGTGTTCGACGCCTTCCTCTTCAGTTAAGGTCTGGGCGACCGCGTGGGGTACTGTGTTACCCACACAGGAAGCATGTTCAACGCCTTCCTCTTCCGTTAAGGTCTGGGCGACCGCGTGTGGCACTGTGTTACCCACACAGGAAGCGTATCCGACGTCTTCCTCTTCAGTTAAGGTCTGGACGACCGTGAGTGGAACTCTGTTATCCACTCTGAACACGCTGTTCTCAGTGTTCGTGACAGCTGCAGCTGTCTGCGGAACTAAGTTACCCGCCTGTGGACCTAAGTTACCCACTTGGCCAGCGCCTCTTCTGAGCGCTGCCACCATCAAAACATCCTCGGAGTCGTCATATACGTCGACGACTCCCAAGCATCTGCCGGATGCTTTGGTACCCTGGCAGCCTTTGCGGGCGCCCCGGGTCCTGACAGAGGTGGGAACATGACTCACCAATGCTCTGTCGGACTGCGCAGGGCGGCTGGCACCGATTGCTTTGCCTCGCCAGTCGATCCAGGGCTCGTGCTTCTCAAGCCAGGGCATGCCCAGAATCATATCATATGGATCCATATCAAGAGCAGTGAACTGTTCGAGGCTGTCAAAGTCTTCAAACTTGACGGCCAGATCCACTTGGACGTTGGAAACAGTGACGACCTTCCCGTCGGCCAGTCGCACTGACACCGTCCCGTTGCCCTTACTTTCTCTCAAAGCATCGGACAATTTGTTGCTGTTGCGAGCAACCGTCTGGCGGCGTGCGAAATTCTTCGACGCCCCAGAATCAATCAAGATTCTAAAGGGATGATCGTATCCCCGTACACATCCGTGTACTACGAGCAACCCGCCGCTGCTCATCGCCGATTCGAGAGTGCGAAGACTCTCAGGGGCTAAGTTCCCGTGGTACGCACCACCCGCGCACCCATCACGAAGACTTAGTTCTTCCCCAGTAGGGCGCCCCGCCCCTACTGGTTCCCGGCGTTCCCCTGTCCCCGGAATCCTGGCTTCTGCCAGCGACCCTTGAGAACGGGCTTGGGGAAGGACCGTCTGCGGAGTCTTTCCGCGGGACAGTCGCGCTTGAAGTGGCCCATCTTCCCGCAGCCGGTGCAGCGGATGTCACGCTGTTCGGCGGACCCGAGTTCCATGGGAACTGGTCCGTTGGGGCTTGTTCGACCGGGAGCCGACAGGGAACTCCCAGGCCATGCTGAGGCCGGCGTACGCGCCTGGCGATGGTTGTACTCTTCTTGAAGAGCAACTTGAATCGCCTCTTCAAGGGTGCTTGACTGCACCCGGAACAGCTGAGTGCGTGCGGGGCCCACTCGAAGGCCGTCCATGAACACAGTAATCTTGATGTGTTCGTTGAGTGGGTTTCCCACTAGGGACGCCGTGAGCTCCCGTATCTCTTGCACATACTCGTGCAGTTCGCGCCTCCCTTGTTTACACGAGAGGAAGCGCGAACGCTGGCGGTACTCGTAGCTCGCCAGGAGGAACGCGGCTCGAAGCTGCTCGCACAGCTGAGCCCAGGATGTGAAACATCCTGGGGATGTTGCTTCCCGTGTGTACACCCAACTCTTAGCACGGCCGCTAAGGTTGGCGAGTGCAAAGGCAACACGCAGTTGCTCGGTCGAGATCAGAGCCGCGTCCATCGCGAGCTCTACTTCTCGGACCCAGAAGTGAAGGTTCTCGCCTTCCTTCCCTTCATACGGCTTAACCTTCAGCCGTATTGGCTTCGGGTGAGGGGCTTTGCTTCCGCCGCCGGAGCCTGCAGGTTCTCCCGCACATGCGCGATGAGGCCCTGCTCGTACGCGTCGAATACAATGACGCGCTCGAGCTGCTCAGCCGATGTTGACACCACCAGGCTCTGCAGGGCCCCCATCCTGAAGATGACTGCCATCTTCCGAATCGACTCGAACTGAGAGTCGTTCATATGGGAGAAGTCGTTCCTATCCATGGTAACGAACTTCGGAGAGGTTCAGGTAGTCTACCCGCGGTGGCGTGGATTGACTAAGTGCTACCAAGTGTGACGGGGTCACACAGCACCTTGCGATAGAGGAAGTTATCTTCCGAGAGTATACAAACTCTTAGTGAACGGCAGCTCACAGGTCCCCTCTTTATTTAAAGAGAGCGAAGTGACCTAAATAAGGTAGATTGTAAACTAAGCATATTTATAGGTAGGTTAAGTTTGGGTTTAATACAAACTATAAGTTACCAATAGAAATGCAATGTCGCTTGACCAATGGTTGGCTTTAAACGACCTTGGTACCTTGCACCAAATATCCCGGAGTATGACGTGTCATACACCTGAAGAGTGAAGTGTCACACTTCATGTAACCAGGGTACACTTAGGGCTACGTACCCCGTTACAGCCGCAGTTCTCGTTCCGTCAGTGCTGGTTGCCGCCCAGCCCTTCGCTCTCCACCGCTGTCTTCCTTCCGTCCCCGCGCCGCCTTGACTGCGTTCCGGACGGACGTACGGGACCGACCTGTCTTCCTAGCGATCTCGTGCAGAGAGACGCCTCCGGTCGTGGAGACCGACAATAAACCAGTGCTCTTGTTGGGAGAGGGTCTTGCCGTGGCCCATTAGAAAATGAAAGGCTCACAGCCTCCGCTACCCGCCAACCATCTACTTATTTTAACCATCACTCTTTTAATATAGAAATTTGTAAGGTCTGTTCATAAAAGTGTTTTTTCGTCATAAAAAGAAAGTGGTCTTAATAATTTGACGCTGATGCCCAAACCTTGAATTTGTATACCAGCCCGGTCAGATCTAAGTTGCTAACACAAGTGGCACCTCTGTAAGCCTAATAGAGAGAACATATCAAAGTAGCAGCTCCCAACTCAGGCTAGAAGCCGAGATATTGTCAGAAGTGTCCCGCCAAATCGGGGGTCTTAATGATTTGGCGGGCACTGTACTTAAGTAGTCCAATTTGAGTTCCTACATGACACGAGAGTACCGGTGCATCAGCAACAAGCGGCGGTCCAGTCGAAGTAGAAGTCAAAGTCACGACAGGGCCAAGCGGGTGGATACCAATCCTTACTCGGGACGTCGTGGCTGGTTCGCTGAGGAGTATGATCCCGTTCAGATTGGCAGCATTGATGGCACGGACACGACTCCGCACGACAAGGGCCTGGTACGGGCCATGAATGCCAGATTCGACGCCACAAAGGACCCACAGATCCACGGCGACCCGTACGCGACGCTGTTCGTGGCTCGATTGTCATTCAGCACGGCAGAGTCAACAATCCTACAGTTTTTCAGCAATTACGGTCCTATCCGCCGACTTCGACTCGTGCGGGACAAGAAGACCGACCAGTCCAAGGGCTACGCGTTCGTCGAGTTCGAGCACGAGCGGGATTTCGGACGAGCCTACAGGCACGCCCATCGACGCGTGATTGATGGAGCTACTTTACTGGTAGACTTTGAACGGAGCAGAGTTATGAAAGGGTGGAAACCTCGGAGACTTGGCGGCGGTTTGGGTGGCAAGAAGGAGTCTGGGCAACTTCGCTTTGGCGGACGAGATCGACCATTTAAGCTGCCCTTGGGAAAGCGTTAAAGTGACAGTAATACGGGTTCGATTGGTTGTGTTTACTAGTTGACGGCTACTAGCTGCGTTCGTGGTAAAATATCTGAAGCCTCCGCGATAAGAGACTGCGTTGGGATGAGTTGGGATGCTTGTCGAACGCTCTGCCAGAGTAAAGATAAATATCCTGGATCTTGTTGCACTGAAGCGCTGCGGTACTCGACGACAATGGCGTGGAGTCGACCGCTGACGAGCATTACGCGTCCGGAGGTCGCAGCAGTGTTCAAGCCGTCAATTACTGTTTTTCCGTCAATGTAGACATTAGCAGCACTCCCGACGTCGCTTTGCACTTTGACCCATAGCGTATAATCCTCAGTAAACGTCGGACGAAGGAAACCTCGCCAAACAACGCGCGGGTAGCCTCGCATACTGACGTTTTTCCTCCAGTCAAAGTCGATCACGGTGTCTATGGTGCGAACAGCACTCGCTAAATTACGCTGAACAGATCCCGTATCAACGTAGTAATCTCCAATCAAGCCACGCTGTGGCTCAGCGACTCGTGTTTCGATCTCGTATGCTCCAGGAAGAATCGCACGATAGGTCACGACATAGTCGCCGTTGCCGAGATCTGCTACATTCCCTATTGAGCTGTCAGGACCGTGAATACGAGCAACTAATAGATCACCACCGCTATCACGAACGTTGCCAAACGTATCCCGAACTGTAACGTGATATGTGTAATCCTGCTTGGTAAGTATCTGCGGTCCCAATCCTACACCGGTTGCTGTCACTCCTACGCCGTTGGAGGACACAAAAGATGTGATCGCTGTGGCCACGTTGGGAAAGACACGTAGTGCTGCCGTTTTTTGTGTAAAGGACTTGCCTCCGTCCACACTAAGCAACACGGCATGCAGACCAGCGAGTACAACTGTGTACTCAACGCGTACATCGCTGGCCGACAAAAAGTTCTGGTCTCCTTCACCCATCTGAGATACCTTCGCAGACACCTCAGCACCGGTACTCATGCTTCGTAGCTTTACTCGAACATGACCGAGATATGAAGTCACCATTGTAGCTGTGAGGCGGTTCGTACTTCCATCGCGCAGCTCCAATACGAAACTAGTGGCAACTCCAGCAGTCGAAGACACAAACCCACCACCGATGAGTGTAGAAGTTGCTTCACTGGGTAGTCCCGGGTCAACTTGGAGCTTAAACGGACTACCTTTGATGTTGTACGGGGCCAAAAATGCTGCCAGGGCGTCACCACCGGGAGGAGCACTCGTCTTCTTTGCGTCGGGAAGAGCAGCTATGTGCAACGAGAAATTACCGGTCAAATGAGGAACCAGGTTGACCTTGTACGAGCCGTCCGCTATATCGGTGATTGATAAACCGGGTTGCGTGTTCCCGCTAGGCACCTGCGGGAGCAACACGTATAGTGTGCAGTAATCCTCGCCGCCAACTTTGTTACTGAAGCTGTCGCGTGCTACCACAGTGAAGATAAAAGACTGATCCACAATTGCACGCACGGCTGTCGACTCTGGTATTAACGACGCGGTACTGAATTCTGGAGTAAACTTAGTGGGCTCTGCAATAGCAGGTTTGATATTGAGTGGCGGGACATTATTGACAACCCTCCACGAAGTAAAGAGTTGAGACGACGGAATGATCTCGCGAGGTTGAGACAGACTACTCCACCACAGAAATACGGTAGCGTTGGGTATCGCTCTTGGCTTTGAGAAATTGAGCTCGAGATCCACGAACGTTTGCGCTGTCAGAGAGGCAATCATAGTCGCCTCTGTAGCACCTTTTTGAACAGCAACTGAAGTGTTTCCAATGCGAAGACTAGCGATCCCTAATACATCCATTTCAAACGTGTATACTTCACTGAAGCGAGGCAGCAGATATCCGTTCCAGCGTGCACTAAAAGTCTCAGCAGAGTAGATGTGCGACGGTGGCTTCTCTCCAAAGTCAAAATTTATCGTCACGTCACGTCGCTTCAGCACCATAAGCGAATGATCTGGCGAAGATTCGGCTGTTGCGGTTCCCACAGGAACTTCACTTGCCGAGTAGTACGAACCATTTAGTCCTCCTGGCATCATGAGCTTTGGAGTGAAAGGGAATAGTACACTGCGCTTTGGACGAAGGGTGACAAGATAACTCCCATTCTTCTCGTCAGCAATTGGTGCTTCGAGGAATCTACGTACTGCGTCATCCACCTGGAAGAAGTTACCACCGCTCTCTAATACATTTCCAAGCACGTCTCGTGTGGTTAGTTTTAATACAATGAGTGCGCCTGCTCTAAAGACCAGTGGTGGATCGGCCTGTGTCTTTGGAAGCACAGGCGAGAGCAAATCCAGCGATGTCGTTGCTGGAGATGCCATAGCAGGATACGCGTACATATTAAATGGGCTAGAGATAATGGTCACACCATCCACCGTCACGCTGATCTTGTAGCTGCCTTTCAAAGTTAGTGCATACGCCACGAGAAAAACTCCATTGCCGGTATAACTCACAGCTACCGCAGCATTCACCGTTGTTGCAGCTACACCCGGGCCAGTGAACGTGACAACGATAATTTCACTACCAGCGTTAGTCTTTGCGTTCCCGAACGTATCATAAATACTGACGGTGAAGTTTGTTCTCTCTCCAGCGACTGCTGACACCAGAGCACCACCTGCCGCCACACAACGCGATCCCAACGCTGGTCCAGCTGTGACATTCACGAGGAACGGACTTTCAGTAATTGCTCGGCTATACAGCAATACATGCAGTCGTGTGATACCAACGTACTGTGCTGTGTATGCGCAGGTGTAGTGTCCATTCAACAAGTCGGTACATGCGGATCCACTCACGTTATTCTTGCCAGGAAGTTCAAGCACCACAGTCAATGCCGACGCTACGCCACCTAGGAGTACATTGTTACCAGAGGAATCCCGACTTGTCACTTCGAACGTCGTCTGCACATTGGTTTTCGCAGAAACAATACCTGGACCTTGGGCACTACTTGTCGATCCAATAGGAGTGTTATGCACGACTGTAATCGCGTACGGAGAATTATGTAAGTGAGCTCCATTCCACGTGACTGAGACGCTGTAGCTCCCTGCCACCCGAGGTACATACGTCAGCTTGTAAGCTCCATCCGCGTTGTCGACAATCTGAGCCGTTGCTACGGTTGGAGCAGTGCTTGTCACGAGGGAGGCTTGAAGCTTAAGACCCTTTAGCCCTCCAGTGTAGATGCGGTTCGCGTACAGATCTCGGGTTTCAAGAGCGACATTTGCAGCTTGGCCAGCAACACGACCAGCAAGTACACCTGACCCAGAGATAACACATTGCGCTGCATTGAGTTGACCCGGTACTACGACTACCGAGAAGGGGTTAGCTGCCAAGTCGACGCTGTTGATACTCACACTCATATAATAATCACCACTGCGCTGCGGCTTTGCCAGTACGCGAAAACCATCCAATTCGCCATCCCACGATACCAATGCGTCCTCCGTTTGTGTACCTTTCCCTCCAAGACTTCGGTCGGTTGTCAACGCTAGAGTCGCAGCAACGACATCGCGCTGAATACTCTGTTGATCTCGTGAACGCCGTCGGTTCCCGAAGGTGTCGCGTGGTAAGACGCTGTAAGCAAACGTCTCGCCTGCAATTACCCGGAGAGCAGGAGCAACGGATATTCCATCATTGCGTAAAGTTGAAGTTATTAACGCAGTACTCGCCGCCCAAGCTGGGGTCACAACTACGTTGGTGAAAGGAGAATCCTGTATGTGGCTGCCTGAGAAGAGTTGTTGAGCTGGAATGACCTCCATCTTCGCACTCCCAACACTTCCCCATAGTAATCGAGCGTAAACATCTCCTTGCCGTGGTGCTCGATACTCAAGAACCAATGAATACAGCTTTGAGGTATCCATATCCACCCCTGCTGCAGCTTTAGTAACAGGTAAGTCGTCATTCGTGTCTCCTCCAGCACCCCATCGATCAACGACAAGCACGTCGTCGATCCATAAGCGCGCGTATCCAACAGTTGACACAGCTAGCATGGTTATCCCCGTGGTGAGTGGCTTAAGCCAGCCACTCCAACGTACAGACAAGTGACTCTGAGCTCCCGGAAACGCCGGGCCTGAATTCCACGTAAAATTCACATGACGATCAACGCGTGACAAGGCAGGCGAAGCCATAAAAAACGAGCCAAATGCTTCTCCTAGCCAAGCATCTCCAAAGTAGTCTCCACGCAGTCCACCAGGGTACAACAATTGAATAGCAACCGAGAAGTTACCTGCACGTTCGCGCATCCAGGTACAAGCAAACAATGACACATCCACTCCCCCACTGTGCCCCACAGTTCCAAGTCGAAGAGTGCGAAATACTACCGTTTCGACGCTGTCGTCGTCTTCTTCGATGTATGAAGTAACAACGAAGACAGCTTCACCCAAGGGGTCGACACCAGGCACTCCGTTTCCCAGTATACTCTGAATCTGGAATGTCATTTGGTTACCAGCAGCTCCACCTCTTAGCAGCGTGATGGCAGGTCTAACTACAAACGATAAATTAGCAGCCGGTCGAAGAGCATCGTCGTCCAAAATGGTCACGAGTGTGCGCCATTGATTCCCCAAAGTTGCTGGAGCGATGCCAAGCGAGTCAGTTGGCTGAAAAGGCTCGCGAAGTCCAAGTCGAAACGTTTTATCACCTTGTAAAATGTGGTTATCGTGAATCTGAAGCTTGAAAGCGAGAGATACTACCCCTGGAGCGAAATCCAGTCTCTGCGAGCTGGTGTAAAACATCGTGGAGGAAACGTCTCCAGGTGTCGTGGTTACATGCTCTATATCGTACAGCAGCGCAGCACTTCCCAGTCCACCCCCAGATCGCCGCACCGTCACTGTGATGTTTCCAGCCGTTTCAGGGACTGCGTAAAGCGGTGACACAAAGGAGAAAACTCCTCGGTGTCCACACACACGATGCGACTCTGGAGAAGGAGAGCAAGTCCACCCAGCGTCTGTATTTCCACCTTGTGTGCAAGCCACACTGCTCTCGTTTAATGGTAGCGACGAGTAGGAGGCTGGAGCTAGAGCATACGACTCCACTTCGTCAAATACACGAGGATCTTGACTTCCATACACGAATTTTTGCGAGAACTCGCGCAAACGCTCGTCATCAGGTAATGGCTGGTCGATACGACGCGCGCCACTGCGACGGACTGAGTTGAGCTGTAGATCTGCACACATAAGGCATTTGTGATGGCTGCAGCTTAGACATCGCGGGTCGTAGCGCGCGCAGGAGACTATTCAGCATTAGTTTAACGTGTTAGACACCATGTACACCCGCAACACAATGCAATGCACGTACCACACGTCTGTGTCGTTGGATCTACGTAGAATTTCTCCACACATTGCAGACAGGCAGTGCTCGTGCAGCTTACGCATTTCTCGTCGAAGGCGCAGAATCTTTGTGAACAGTCGACGCCACGACGTGTAAGATCACATGTACATGTGCCTGTAGCATAGTCACATTCGCCACCTCTCGAACAATCGTTTGGGCAGCTTTCTGTATGCACAGCAACAGTCAGTTTTGGGGCACAAACACTACCAACAGTAGAGCTGATACTTAACTCTTGGCAAAGCACAAGACGCCTCGTTTAAAGTACCCTGGTTGACATGCTGTACAGTCTAACCCTGTGTACCCTGGATTGCAGACGCACAGCCCGCTGCGTCGATCACAGTAGCCGTACTCGCGACTGAAGCAGTAGAACTCGCCATTGCGTCCTGGCCCCACCATTCCTGGACATGACTCTGCAGACGGAACTCAGTCAGCAAAATACCCAGCCGCAATTACCACCAAGAAGCTTGAACTGTACGCTGCAATGGGGCGCTGAAGAAGATCCGCGGCGTGTCGGGGGAGTACGGTGAGCCTTCGTTCAGCCGTTCCGCAGACGGATTGCTGGGGTCTCCGTAGTATCCCACGTGCCCAGCCTCATAAGGCTCAAAGACAGCGTGTGTCCCAATCAGCGGATCAGTCGTTGAGTTGATCACACGGAAGGCGCCACCACTCGGCAGCAGTAACAGCAGCGCGACTAGCGCGGACGCCATGATTGGCGTCTCTTCACAGTACGTCGTCGGATACGACCCGAATAGAGCGCTGCTGGTGCGCTTTAACTGGCTGAAAAGAGTTGCTGCTATGGGATTGGCTGAAATTTCAGTAAACCACTTGCGCGACGTTGGTTGGCTGGCAGAGCGCCGGATGTGACCATCCATTTGCACCAGTACATGTAGCTTCTTGCAGGTCAATTCTGGAAAAGCTTGCGGCCTCTCGCGTCTCTCTCTTCTCCTTCATCAAGTTGACAATGTCTGGACGTGGATTTGGTCGTGGTGGCGGTCGTGGTGGCCGTGGCGGTGGTCGCGGCGGTAGCTTCGGTGGAGGCCGTGGTGGCGGCGGCCGTGGCGGCGGTCGCGGTGGTAGCTTCGGAGGAGGCCGTGGTGGCGGCCGTGGCGGCGGTCGTGGCGGTAGCTTCGGTGGAGGCCGTGGTGCTGGTGGTCGCGGAGGCCGTGGTGGAGGTCGTGGCGGTGGCCGCGGTGGCATGGCTGGCGGTGCCAAGGTCGTCGTGGAGCCTCACCGTCACGCCGGCATCTTCATCGCTCGTGGCAAGGAAGACGCTCTTGTGACTCTCAACTCGACGCCCGGCAAGTCTGTGTACGGCGAGAAGCGTATCTCGGTGGATGTCCCGGCCGCTTCGGGCGAGGGCACTGAGAAGGTTGAGTACCGTGTGTGGAACCCGTTTCGCTCCAAGATCGCCGCTGCCATTTTAGGCGGTGTGGACAACATCTGGATCCAGCCCGGTGCCAAGGTGCTGTACCTGGGTGGTGCCTCCGGTACGACCGTGTCGCACGTGTCTGACATTGTGGGACCCACTGGCGCCGTGTACGCTGTCGAGTTCTCCCACCGTGTGGGCCGCGACCTCATCAACATGGCCAAGTCGCGAACCAACGTCGTCCCGATCATCGAGGACGCCCGTCACCCGCTCAAGTACCGTATGCTCGTGCCCATGGTCGACGTCGTGTTCGCTGATGTCGCCCAGCCCGACCAGGCCCGTATTGTGGCTCTCAACGCTTCGCACTTCCTCAAGAACGGCGGTCACTTTGTGATCTCCATCAAGGCTAGCTGCATTGACTCCACGGCCCCGCCTGAGGCCGTCTTCGCTCGCGAAGTCAAGAAGCTACAGCAGGAGCAGTTCAAGCCTGCTGAGCAGCTGACTCTGGAGCCGTATGAGCGTGATCACGCTGTCGTTGTCGGCTCGTACCGTGCACCCAAGAAGGAGAAGAAGTAGATCCTCTCAGGAACAAGCCATTTGGTTTACACTAACTATGCAATGTGTTTTTCTACATTCCCTGTGTTTATAGGTCTCCGCCCGGATATGTTGAGCCTGCCTCTTCTCTATTGGAAAGTCTTCAGTCAAGAGTCCAAGCTGCGCTCTTCCTCCTCAAGAGCTTTGTGGGTCCAAGGTATATGTGTGAGCCGAGTGTATGTTGCGTGAGTGCATGTGAGTGGGGCGATTCCAAAGGGAGGTTTGTTGAAAGACAGCCTCCTGTTTTCTCGATGATTAGAAGCATTGCGTCGGGCGGACTGAACAAAACGGGGCTTGCTGTCGTTCTCACCCGCTGAAAAGCGGTCACTGGGGTCGACGGTGGGTCCTATCCGTGATCGAAAGACGTCATCAAGCCTCCAAGTGGGGTCGATGAGAGATAGAAGGACACAAAATGATATGCATGGAATAGTCTATACACGTTTAGATGTGCAGCCACAGTAGTCATGAGGAGGAGTGCAGCGAGAAGAGGATGCCCGTCACACTTAAGGGCGGGGACCTGTCGTGTCTGTTCCTTCGTCTTCCTGGCAAGCGTTAACTAACCCGTTTTTGATGAATACAAGTTGTTTTCCATCTATTTCTACCTCGTTCAATGTTGTGCTGAAGTATTTCTGGACACTCATCTTTCTGTCTGCAAACAGCAACAGCAAACGTCGCCTTGACTAGTATGCATCGAGTCAGTGACCAGCTTCGAGACCGTCACCCGTATGCCGATCAACCATTCCAGGAGTCCTACAATTCTAGGGAGGTAGAAAATGAAGGCTACAACGGTGTGTTTATCAAACAAGCAGAAAGGTTAAAAGGTTTCTTGTGTGATGGCCCGTTTACCAGGTAACGCGAGCCTTCGGCGCAAGAGCGATTCCAAAGTATGCTGAGCTCCTTGCAATGGAGGATATTTCCGACGAAGATCGCTGCCATGCGCTTCAGGACTTGCGAGAGCTTTTGAGCAGTCCGAATTTCAAGTTTACTGCCATCACGAAGGAAGTTATGTTCACATGTGCGGATCTAACACAGTCGATCTCGGCTGAAGTTCGTGCCGACGCAGCCCTGGTGATGGCGTCGCTGGTTCTGTTCGAGATGGTAAGCCGTGTTTCTTTCTCTGACTGGACTGAGATGGATAACTAACTGCATTCAACAGGACACACCGAACGATCTAAGTGATGAAGTTGTTCTTACGACGGTAACTCGTTTGCTCGGAGACGACGAAGACGATGTCGTTGCTGCTTGCAGCCGCATTCTTGCCAACTTGACCGTCTCTAACGAAGGCTGTCTCTTACTCGCGAAGAGTATTCCCGCCGTGACTACGGTGGCAAATATGCTGACTTCCCAGCCTCTATCCAACGTACCAACCCGAATAGTTGAGCTACTCGTGGAAGTGCTGGCAAACCTCACACGAGTCTATGAAGGCGCTCGTACCTGTGCACAGTTTCCTTTTATCAAACCAGTGCTTTCGTTGATCAAGAAGCCACGGTTGTGTCGAGCTGAAACGCTGTTGCACGCCGCGATGGTCATCACGAACATAGCTGCATATGACCAAGCAAAACGAGATGCAATCCAGCTCGATGCAGTGGAATTGTGCCTCAGAGCTCTGTCAAAGGTTCTTCTCGGCCAAGTGCGCTGTGAGCCAGCTGAAAAGCGAGACGAACTTACTCGATGTTTAGTTGCAGCAGTGATGGCGCTGTCAACTGCCGAGGACGCAAAGGCGCGTGTGATTGAGTTCGGTATTGAGCCACTAGCTCAATGTCTGATACACAGTAGCGCCGCAGTGCGGCAAAACGCCAGTATCACTATCAACTCAGCGTGTGATCTGCCCCGTGGCATCCCTCCATTCACTCAGAGCCTGCTTCGTAGTGAGGATCTGCTAGTGGACGTCTTGGGCATCAAAGCCGTGTCAGCTCTGAGCAAGACCGTCAGCAGTTTTGACGACGAAGACACACCCGCGGCAGTGAAGGCTCTGACTGCGATTCAGAAGAAAGATGCATACGGGACAGCCGACCGCATCGTACAGACGTTGAATATGCTCGACAACCTTGTCAAAGCTCTGCTTGAAAGCGAGGTGCCTGTCGAGGCGCAACAAGGTGTCGCGGACGTGCTCCGGAGAATGAGCCAGACCGACACAAGTTACCAGCGGCGTGTGGGGAGATGTATGATGAAGAACAACATTCCCGACGCACTGTTCTCGCAGATTCTAGGTCTTACGCTTGTAGAATTCAGCGAGCAGCTAACATTGTTGAAGTGAGATGGCTACAATGATTCAATGCATTTGACAAGTTATCTAATGATAGAGGAGGAAGGCACAATTCGGTCGCTGCTTACAAACTTCAAGTCAGCGTACCTGAAGCGGGTTTCGATGTTCTGCCCAACGACAAGTATTTATAAAAATGATGGCGCTTATTTTGGTTGTGTTCGTTGAGCCGAGAGAAGGTTAGCATCTCCCTCGACAAGGACGGGATTGCGCGTTTGCGTATCCAACCACTGGATGGTTTAAGCTCTGTCATCCTTCTGGAAGACATCTACCAGTTTTTTTTGTGTTGTGCATGGCTCCCAAGCGGCTATTCGCTCCCGAAGTCAATGGCGGCAACAAGAAAAGGCAGCGAAAGTCGAGTAGTGCCGCCTGTCTAGGACAGAATGAGCCCTTCAACACTCAATGCGCAACAGCTACAGCCCCGGAAGAGACAGAAGCCCCACAACCAGATATACGCAGCACTGCTGCTATGCAGGACTCGACGCGTGTGGCGGTACTGGTGCCGTTCCGTGACAGTCACCCAGCCCAGAAGCGACACGCGCATCTGGACGAGTTCGTGCCGTTCATGACCGAATTTCTTAAACGTAACTGCGCTGGGAAGAGGTAGACGTGGGCAGTACCCTGGGTATATACTAGAACTTTTCTGCTGACTGTTCTGGTACTATTTAATTTTGCTAGTGCCTCGTTCCACATCTTCATCATCGAGCAGTCGCTGGACGGCCGCAAGTTTAACCGAGGCAAGCTGCTGAACGCAGGCTTCGACATGGCTCGCAACGACTACGACGTTTACATTTTCCACGACGTGGATTTGCTACCAGGAGTGAGATTTCTGCTGAGCTGGTGGCTGGCGATCCAGGCTAACGGCGTTGCTTTGACAGGACGATCTGGGCGAGCTCTACACGACTGTGCCAAGTCTTGGACCAATGCACATTGCACGCCTATGGGATCGCTACAACGAAAGCTCAACCTACTTTGGTGGCATCGTGGCGTTCACACGTCAGCAGTTCATCAAGGTTAACGGGTTTCCTAACAACTTTTGGGGCTGGGGTGGAGAGGACAACGAACTCTATAGTCGTGTGGTGCGCAAAAAACTTGCTATCCAAGCGCCGACGAGGTGGAGTTTTCTAGCTTTGACACGCTGTGAGTTGACGACTTACTGTTCGTTTATTGCAGTGGCACCATTCGTGACTTAGAGGACCTTAATCTGGAAGAAAAGCTGACAGTACTCAGAACGAGTAAAGTGAAATGCACGGTGAAGCGCGACCTGCTAAAGGAGCACCATCGCACTTGGAAGAAGAACGGATTGAAGAGTCTTTGCTACGAATACGTGAACGCTGAGGCGATCAACGAGAACTGCACCAAGATTACCGTTAAGTTGGGCCCAAACGGCCATTGGTCCGACTCCAGATCGTCCTTGGAGCACCCAATTGCTCCGGACCAGGATCTGGAATCGTACTTGGTCCTCATCGTCCCAGAAACTGCAAGCGCGGAGAAGATAGTAGACCCTGCTAGCGAAACAAGTGAAGAAGCTCCCAGCTGTGCAGTGGAAGATGCGTAAAATTGACAAGTGCCAACTTGAAAGTCGGTGTGAAACTTTCTTAAAGCTAAAAAAAACGTTTTTTTTAAGAAAGCAAAACATTGTTTTTAAATTAGAATTTGACCAACAGGACTTATTTCTAAAGCCCAGGATTTAGAAATAAACAATATCTACCGCTTCAAATAGTGGCCCCTATTGTCATTTTGGCTGGACAAACGCCAACGTTGATCATGTCGAGCACCTTTTTCGGAGCGCTTACACAGGGCGCCAAGTTCGGCGGTACCAAGTTCCAGAGGGACAAGCAGCAATTCAAGCAGCTCACCAAATGTTAGACCTCTCTCTTTATGCAATTTTAATTTTCGAGCTCGCTTTGTCCGTAGAGACACGGTGTGCAACTCCACCATTCAATTCTCATTTGGTTCGTGCCTATCGCAATGTATTTCAGGTCAGGGGCCGAATAAAGCGACCAAAAAGACGGCGGACGTGAACGAGCTAGACTTTTTCGGCTTCGATGCAGCCCCGAAGCCCAAGGAGAAGGCACCCAAACCTCAAAAGATCAGCGTCGACATGGTACCGGAGTGGGCAGGTAACGATCCATCCAGCAAGACGCGCAAGGTGAATGGAAGTAAGCCTCGTCGCAAGCGCAAGCTGAGTGAAGGTGCGCTAGAAGAGCAGCGTCTGGAGGACGAGGCGCGACAGCAAGCGTCGCAGTTGCTCGCTCCGCCCAAGACTAAGACTGACAAGCGAAAGGAGAAGCGCGCACGTCGTCGGTCACGCACGGAATCGATGGGGAGTGAAGCAACATCACAGCAGTCGGACGAGGAGTCTGAGGCAGCTAGTGACAGCGATGAGGAGGAAGACGAGGCTGCTGTGACTCTATTCAAGTCCAACGACGAGGACGCGGGCGAGGCAAAGACTGATGCGAAAATTGCAAAGAAGAAGAAGAAAGACACCAAGAAGACTGACAAAAAGAATACTGCTGCTGCTGAACAGTACGGACAATATTTACTATTAGTCTCTTTCTACAGAGTGCTAACTTCTCGCTTTGCAACAGGGACGGAGTTCAGATGCTTCGACGTCAGCTTGGTATTCGCGTGAGCGGCGTGAGTGTGCCGGCACCGATTACGTCATTCGCTGACATGCGCTTGGACTCGAGTGCGAGTGCGCAGCAGATGAAGCGTCTACTGCTCCAGAATATTGAGCGCTCCGAGTACAAGGAGCCCACGTCTGTGCAGATGCAAGCCATCCCAAGCTTGTTACTCCGACGCGACGTGCTGGCCACGGCGCCTACAGGCTCCGGTAAGACTGCAGCTTTTGCGATCCCGATCCTAGCGAACCTGGCAGCTGGTAGCGGAACAAGTAGCGGTATCCGCTCGATCGTTCTGGCTCCTACTCGCGACTTGGCGGTGCAGATTCGAGCCGAGTTTACACGCCTCGCAGCTGGCAAGAAGTTGCACATTACGCTGCTATCTAAAGCTACAGCAGCGACCATTGCGTCGCAAACCAAGAGCAAGCTGGCGGTTAACCACGACGTTCTGATTGCCACTCCCCTTCGACTCGTACACTTGATCCAAGAATCGAAAGTTGATCTGTCGACCGTTGAAATGGTGTGTTTGGACGAGGCTGACAGACTGCTGGAGCTGGGATTTGTGGAGCAGGTCGATGAGATTTTTGCTGCCTGTACTCACCCGAAGGTCCAGCGAGCCATGTTCAGTGCAACAATGCTGGAGGGGGTCGAGGAATTGGCTCAAACTGTGCTACGTGACCCTGTCAAGGTGGCTGTGGGCACGAAGAATGCTGGCGCTAGTACGATCGACCAGAAACTGGTGTTCGTGGGCAAGGAGGAAGGAAAACTTGTCGCCATGAAGCAATTGCTACAACAAGGACTGCAGCTTCCGGCGCTGCTGTTTGTACAGAATAAGGAGCGTGCCAACGAACTGTACCACGAATTGCTGTATGATGGAGTGAATATTGGAGCTGTGCACGCAGATCGCACCAAGGAGCAGCGTGACGATGTGATTCGACGATTTCGTACTGGCGAAGTGTGGGTGCTCATCTGCACAGACCTCATGAGTCGTGGTATGGACTTCAAGGCGGTCAACATGGTCATCAACTACGATTTCCCGCAGGTAAGCGACAGGGTCATGTACTCTTTTCTTTCCTGTAATTCATCCTTTTTATTGCATGTGGTGTTTAAAACAGAGCGCGGTGAGTTACATTCATCGTATCGGTCGTACTGGTCGAAACGGACGCAAGGGCAAGGCTGTCACGCTCTTCACCGAAGATGACATGGTGTATCTGCGTACGATCGCGAACGTGATGAAGATATCGGGCTGTGAGGTCCCCGACTGGATGCTGTCGCTGAAGAAGGCTAGGTACGTATACACTAAATGTTACGAGTTGTTGCTGTCTCTTAACCTTTTTGCTGTGCTCAACAGTGTATCAAAGAGGAAGGAGCTTCTGAAGGCACCACCCATGCGTCATCGTATTAACACGGTGTCGGGATACGATCTCCAGAGGGCAAACCGTCTGAAGCAGATGAAGCAGGGAAAGACAACGCCCAAGAAAGATGGGGAGCAGTCTGAGTCGGATCCAGCTAAGCTGGAGGCATCTGCGAAGACTGGAGAGGGCAAAAAGAAGCGTAAAAAACACAAGAAGAACCCCACGAACGAGTGAATACTCCTATGCTCCGCAAGAGATAGATGAATTTGTCGCAACTTGAGCGATGTATATGCTACATTTCCTGTTTGTTTGTTGTTGTTTTTGTTTAGTTGCGTTGGTGAAAGCTTGGTCTTAGACGTTAGCCCCTGGCTCTAGCCTGTCGAGGTCCTCGCTGTCCTCGTATCCTGGCTTTCCTGTCATCAACGAAGGTGGTGCCGTCATCTTGCGGTATTGTAGCAGCACGGGGTACATCTTGTCAATGGCTTGGTGCAGATGGTTCGAGTCTCTAGCGCCACACAGTACAATCTTGCCAGACACGAAGATGAGCAGCGTCAGCTTGGGCTCTACGAGCTTGTAGATAAGGCCAGGAAAGAGCTCGGGTTCGTACTGTAAAAGAATCAACAGTATGAGAAGTTAACGCCCAAAGCAAATACCGACGTCAAATAACAGCACAACATACACTGGAGAAGCGCGCGTGGTCGTTCAGCAGTCCTTCTAGACGAATAGGGAAGCGGATATCGCACGTTCCCATCACATTGCGCACTTTGAATTCAGTGAACTTGGCTGGGAAGTTCAATTTCTAAACATTCGGCAAGAGAAAACACGGTTAGCAAAGTCCCTTGGAATGCTAGTTGCAGTCCTTTTCAGCATCACCAACCTGTATTACGCGCGTGAATTTGCGTGCAGCTAACCGGCAACTGTCCTCACTTGTTCCGCCAGTAATGACAATCTGCAGAGTATTGTATCAACATCAGCTTTCAGCAGACGACTCCCAGCTGACAAAGCAGACATCTCTCACCTTTCCCGAGCCGAAAATCAGCGCAGTTGTCTTGGGGTCGCGTAGTCGCATGATTACAGCAGAAAAGCGCTGTATCACAAGAGAGACCCGGTTATTGACTCGTCGTATTCATCAGTCAAAAACCTTCAGCACCTTGGGATTGTATTCGGCGTTTCGCGCATGTAGCGCGATCGTTTTGAGATCTAGCGGTGTCTTCAGGTCCACAGTGCCAACAACATTCCTGTGATAGGGCAGTTTGTTTAGAAATGGTCGTGATTCAAGGTGCAACTGGACGGAACATACATGATCTTGACCTCCAAGTTCAGACGTTCTTCCCAGTCATCATCTACTTGTAGCTCGCGAGCGCCGACAGTCTGCAGGTCGCGGCCTGGTTTCTCAACGAGAGCGAGTTGCCGCTCCTTCACGGTGTGCGAGGTGGTGCGTGCCTTCTTCATCACGCCAAGTCGTTGGCAGGTAGCAAACAATGAAAAGATTAGTAGGCGGAAAACACTGAATACTATTCTGTTATTTAGAGTACTATTATTAAAATACTAGTACTTTTAAATTTCAAAGAATATTAAATAGAAGTATTACTTTAAAACAATTAGTACTTCACAGAGTTAAAATTTAAAACTTCGCGAAATACTACTAATTGTTTTTTTTTCCACACAAATGCGTTTCACTTCACTAGCCCCTGAGTTACTCGTTGATGCAGAAGTTATGAAGCTTCATACACGTTTTAATTACTTTGCCAACGTTCTTGAAATCAATTACAAGTGGTCGCGAAAATATAAATATTTGCCATTTGCTCACTAACAACCCAAAAGACATTTCAATGCGAATGCGCAGTTGACTTAGAAAGAAGTTGAAGTCAGAGTACGCTTTGCCTTTGAGCTCCAGCTTCGTGAACGGCACCAACAAGGAGTCTGATAGTGGATACGTATTGTCACCAACGATGTAAAATCCAGGAGGTAACTTAAGTATATCATTTCTTAGGCTCCGCTTCTTGAACGCAATTGAGTCTCCCACTTTAAAACAACCCGGTAAAACGGCAGTGGGCGTCACAAATGGCCTGTACATTCAAGCCATACATTTGATAATGCCCTGAGAAGAATGCTGCAACGTCTGGCACCTCGTTTGCACTCGGGGCCCTTATTTGACAAAGCCACTCATCGATACAGCCAACACATCCACTCAAGATCGTGTCCGTGCTAATCTTGGCAAAGCTGTCGGCTAGCTGATGGACACGCTGCTCGGACGCCACGGGAGATTGAATTGCGAAGCTCTAGGCAGTCACAAACTGCGTTCATGACATCGTGAAATACATCATATGTACCGGAAACAGATGTGCCGCCTAAGCAGCGAATTGTGTGATAGCTGCTACCGGCTAGCCAAGCAATCGTCATTTGCAGCATGTCCTCCGGCGAAATTGGATCTGTAGAAGTACGCCGAGAAGACTGGAGCTCATCGCGCGATATAGACGGCCGAATTAGCATCAGCAGACGCTCAAAGGAGTCCACACTCATTCTGTAACAACGCTTAAATTGACCTTCCAGCAGTAATGTCTGCTTGTGGACATTCCAGTTCAAGCGTCGGCGCTTTATACACGCTCTCGGTTCTGCTGGGTAAATGGTAGCGGCGGTAACAAGTAGTGCTATTAGATACCGGCGATGTACACGAGACGATGTCTCGCCTTCCCTCCTGCTTGTAGCGATCATCTGTGCGTTTGCCGCGCCTCTGCGATCCCGCGATCCCGGCCGGCGCGCGATCTGTGCCTTGGATCGCATTGATGCAGTAATCACAAAAGTAGCACTTCAGGTCAGCCAAGCACAGGCTGATCCTCGGAGCGCGACCCCGGTTCGGAACGGCCCTAAGCGTCGCTAATACTACTACCTCCTACGTCGGGCCCAGATACACGACCACGATTAGAGGACGGCCGCGACAATTTGGTGGAGAAGCAGGAATTCTTGCCCTTTATCGTAGAAGTACTGGCGTGGGAAGGAGCCTTGGCATCGGAGCGCCAAGGGAGAATAATAATAAAGAAGTGGAAAAAAATGAGCGCGCATGGGTGGTCCGGTGAAGGACTTGGACCCAGTGAAGGAAAGGAGGGTGCCCCCCCCCCCGTTAGAAACGGAGCCCGTGGAGATCCTCGAGGAGGAAGAGAAAGTGCGCGCAGAGAGAGCTGCTGGCGGCGACACGCAGCAGAGGCCTCAGGCAAAGGAACACCAGGGAGATGGCGAGGAGCGTGGCACGCCACAGAGAGCTGATCAAGAGACTGGACGGTACGAAGCTCGAATGATGCAAGAGGAAGACGAGGACATGTTCGTCGTTGCGTGTCTGTCTCCGAGAACGAGGAGGACGGCTGCGTCTACGCTGGGAACGCCTCATGGTGGGCAGATGTCCAACACGGTCTTAGAGCAGTGGGCACGACACCAGGGAAGGAATGTCACATGTGGAAACGACGACTAGTACGCCTATGGAAGCTTCGGTGATGGCCTCGGGAGGTCGCCGAGAGGTGGAGTTCGCCCTGGATTCGACTCATCCCTCGTTACAACCAGTGGACGGCCCAAGAGGAGACGTGCCAACGGTCACGCCAGTGTACGGCCGACCCAGCAACAGAGTACCGAGCCAACAAGGAAGCCGACGTGCCCCGGGAGCAGTACCTATTGCTACTGGGACGCCAACGCCAGTAAACGTACCTAGTAGAAGTCAAGGAACGATGCCTGCTCGATCATTGAGGACAGGGACGGGACGCCGACGACTGACCCAGGCTTGCAAGCACTCTTGATCGACAGCATCACCCAAGTACAACATAGGATTGCTATGACGAACGGAACGCCGGTGCCGTCGCCACGACCTCAATCTACGGGACACGTGTCACGTACCATGCCGAAGTCGGCCCGACAGCTGACGTCACCGATGATTGAACACCAAGGACATCTGACACGAGAATGATAACGCAGACGCCGGTTTCGACACCTAGCAGGATGTCGATGGCTGCCATTCCCTCATATGGAGGTGTGTCCATTCAAGTGCCTGGTTTCACGTGGAACGGTGGAGGTAGTTAAGCGCCTCAGAGGAGTGCGCTCTATCCTCCATCAACCACGGATGACGTCAACGCCAGAGTGGGCCACTGCTGGAACGATACCCGCGTGGTCCGCTGCGTCTGCTCAGTAGACACCTGCCAGTCCAAAAAGCTAAGCGTACGGATTGCCGTTCCAGAGGACGTCACCGATGGTGGTGCGACGTTCCAGAGACATGCAGGAGCTCAAGGACTGGAAGAGAGCGAAGGTGCTCAGAGGGGGAGGTACGCGTCAAACACTGTACTTTCGCAAGGACAGGTGGCAAGTCAGCACTACGACCAAGACGTCCGCAAGGGCTCGTCTGGGTCTGGAAGTGGTGCGCAGTAGAAAGCTCCTATTGTAGGTATCCCGACGGAATTGCGGAGCGCCTTGAAGGCCATCGCCCCGCCTTATTCTGAGACGGCCACGAACAAAAGGTTGGCCGCCCGCGGGACCAAGGCTGTTGCAATCGGTGCAGCGAGCTTGGGCACTACTCGATGGCGTGCAACTGGCAGAGACCCTAGGGAAATAACCGGAACGGCGAACGTCGCCAAACTGAGTATCTGCTTTGCGGTAAACTGGGTCACTGGTGGCGAAGTGTCCGAGCCTTAATACACTGCGAGGAATGATGCGGAACGTGGCTACCAGGAACACCCTCTGGCACGTCCCAACAATGAAGGGGACAGGAGGAAGAGGAAGGAGTGTCGCTCCTTCCCCTTGCCTAGTTGGCGACACAAAGAGAGATGAGGGCTCACCGCGACAGGACTTGGCGGGTGGACCTCAGAGGGCTCTAAGGAGAGATGTGGCGAGCGATAAAGACGCACGTGACGCTCCTGTCGCGAGTGTAAGGACGGGAATTGTGGAAACTAGATGTGGAACGAGCGAAGAGAGCAGTCCAACAAAATGGACTGGATAAGGACGAGACGAGGAGATGGAGGGGTCTATTGAGAGGCCCGCACGAGACAAAGTGGTTGCTGAGATAACATCGGGCCGGTCCTCTGCGACGCTGAACTGGGAAAAAGGAGCAAAGGCACGTTCCGAGTTGGTACAGGACGTCAGAGTAACGATGCGCCTCTGGACTACGTCAGACGCCAAGGAAATGTACCAAGGGAGTGAGGGAGTGGAGGTGCAGTCAGCCCGCTCGACGCAATACGAAGGAGCACTCGAAACGATCACAGAGGACGCATCTGGCGCCAGGTCAAGTCAGTTCGCGGCAGTAATTGGACAAGTGAGCACAGTGCAAGCAAGGGAAGACGCTCAGACCAACGAGGAAGACGCAGAAAGTACCAAGGGGAAGGATTCGCCGCAGCAGTATGAATGCCTGTTTACCAACGGGGAGCTGTACATGCTCGAGCGCGGCGACCAGGTAGTGAAGAGGAGTACGAGAAGGAACTGGAAGAGCGATTGCTCCCGATGAGCGAAGAAGAGGTTCTGCTAAGTGGAGCGCAGATGAACAAGGAAAGTCGACACTCGCAAAAATGAGTGCCGAGCTGGGAATACCGGAGGGCGTGTTGGAGCGTAGAGGTCTTGTCAGGAGATTTCGGAAAGCCAAAATACAGGCTGGACTGGTACGTCCACACACTAGAGACGTCAACAGAAGCAAGGCGTGCAAATCAGAGCTTCAAGGATGTCGGAGGAGCAGAGGAGAAGTCGACGCCTGTCGTTGGTTCAGTTATGATGTATGAGGACGAGCGTTAATGTTTAGCGGGATTGTCTGGAGACGCGCTGGAGCGCGAGTTTATACAGCGCGTATGTGTTGGACTCGATGAGGCTGTCGTACCAATCGTTATGACCCCTGTGTTACCACAAATAATACGGTTTTGCTCGGAAACTCAGAGCTGTTGCAGCAAACGTAGTACAACAATCCGGTCGCCAGCCGTAGAATTTCATGCGTAGACAGAATACGAGGGTTACAGCTGGACCTTCATCTTCACAACAAGTCGTCAACTACTACGACGACTACATCATATATTCTGATGTATGAATAATCGTCTCGTCCTATTTTACGTGTGCAAGCGCATACTTCATGAAAGCCTGGAGTAGCATAACAACAGATGTGAAAATCCTTGTTAATATGATACTTGCGATGTACAGCATTGGATTTTGCAAGATTAAGTTCTTCAAGCTTTGAAAACTATCGGCAATCTCGCTTGTTCATTGTATATAAAAAGAATACTACCGCTGCGATATCTTCAGAGCAATTTTCACCGGCGTTCAATGGATGACAGGCAGGACAGTGCACGCACCTACAATATATTTGTAATAGTAGTTAAAATTTCCCTTTTGGCGACAGCACTTATTAGCCAATAATAGCGTCTGATTTTAACCACAAGGTGCCTGCTGTTATTTTTACTTCTCGATTTAAGTTGCTCGGTGTATGTAACCAGCCATTATCGAGCTTGCGGCACTACCACAAACACTAGGTTTCGTTTGCCTCCAGACCAATCGCCAACTTGGTATTCAAGGACAATAGGTCTGGATCGTACTTCTATCACCGGAAATGACAATCATCGCAAGAGCGTGTCGGTCGCGTACGGCGACAAAAAAACTACATTGACTACCTAGACAAAGGCCACAAAGTTAAGCGGTGCATCAAGCACGTTATAGAACGCTGCATAGAAAAGAATATCGATGTAAGGAGAAGCTCACCAGCGAACGGTGGAAAGAGGCACAAACGGCTTTAAAAAGCGTGCGAATCAGGTCGATCGGACCACCACAAGCTGCGAAAACTAAAGCTACCACAGTACTGAGCAAAAATGATGAAGCCGAATAGTCTAACCGACTTAGACAGGAAGGTGTCCCGGAGTCGCAGTTCATGCTCGAGACTGAGGCCAAGGTAGCCGCAGCTAAACATCGCATTCTCTCAGAGAAATTTGCAGCGACAGTAGCTTTAATGAATCTGATCATGAGACGCCGCAAGCTGCCCCTGCGAGCAAAACTTGCCCTACACCTTAAGATGCGGCAGATGCGGCTCGAAAGTGTTGATTGGTAGAACATCATCGAGCTGCGGTTGAGCGGAGCTGCAATAAATACATAAAACATGCGAAGCTGGTACGAATTAGCTGCTTTTACTTTTTCTTAATTGCATGTTTACAAAAGCTAACTGAGTTTAGTTTTAAATATTAAGTACTAAGGAAAACGCGGCTTCAAGACTATTTGGGCTAAAGCGCTGATAACCAAAAACGTGCTACTGTTATGCTACTTGGAGGCTATTGTGGTGCTAAAATCGTCCCATTTATCGTTCTCAAAATGCACCAGCCAAAGGTAAAAAAAAAACATTAGTCGGGAACAACGAGGCCAGAAAAAGAGTGCGTGAGCCCACCATCAATGAATAAAACAAAGACGAGACTGGCGCGAAATTAGTAACCTTCAGCTCCGCTATTCCTGTCAGGTATATGGGAGCAAAACAGCGTGGTGGAATAGCAAACTATAGCTGAAGTTCCTGAATTTCATTTTGCCAAAAGTGACAATCTGGAATACAATACTATTTTGCTCTGAGACTACTTTAGCTGCCACTAGACCCACGAGGTGACGGGTTACGCAGCGAAATTGAATGTTGTGCGTTTCAAAGTTCGCGCAAGGTATACTTATGCAAAACAGCCTACAGGAATAAGCCTACAAAAGCGTATGAGAGCGCTGTGGATTGATAGATTAAAAGACCGTTTTGTGTCGGAACAATAAAGGTGTGAAACAACGACAAAGGGAAGAGGACTAAAGTCGCTGCTGCAATTGTAGGTGCTCGAAAGTTAAGGTGGTCTGGACATTGACCATATTCCTGTTGATTTCTTCAAGTCGGACAGCCGAGCGCTAATGCTTCTCACTTGGATCCTGTCCGAGTGTTTTATTTGTATTCTTAGTCTTGTCGGAATGGACTAGATCACGTCGGATCTCATGTCAGCCCAAAACATGTGCTGTTTGGATATCGCTGTAACTTGTCACTGATTTGAGCTGTCGGTTGCTGTCAGATTTTTAGAAAGACAATCGACTCCTGCGTGACCACTATCATATATGTTTGGGAGAGTATAAATGTATCTTGAATCGTCGATTCACCTTGACTTTCCGTCAAGACGGTAGCTAAGCACATCAACGAGTAGCAATTGTTCATGTGATCGATGACAATTGTTGCGCAGACGGCGACAAGAAGGTCTTGGTCGCATATCGCGAAGTCCAAAGCGCTCTCAACATTTTCTTCTTTAAGAGCGTACGTAGGTGTCGCTAGAATAAGTATGAAAAAGACAGTTCCACTTCACCCCTTAACACTGCGATTTACTCAAACATCGTTCTTGAGACTAAACGGGTGCTTGAATGTCTAGACACAAATTATTCAGTACACAACAAAGGCACGTAGCTTAAAAAAATACAAAGTCAGCTGCACCCCATTCGCACTCAACGGTTGAAGTGATCCACGCATTTCCATATCATTATGGGGAACACTGCAGGATTGGTAGGGTGCGCTTCTCATCTTATGTTAGTTTGTTACTTGAGATGACGGCTTAGTAGTTGGAGATGAACGTGGCGCTCAGCACTTTAGAACGCCAATTAAACATCAGCTACATACTATGTGACCAATCACTGCTCAACGGAGCT